CATCTGGAGGTGTGGTGTTAGACATTAGATAATGAAACAAGTTTACTAGAACTCTGTGGCTCGAAGCTGCAGTAGCTGCTACTAACAAAACATGCGGATCCCCTTGAGTTGTGGGTGATGGAGACACCAGGTTTTGAGCAAATACTAAAATAAATTTATAAGAAAAACATGAACACTAATCAGGCTACTATACATTTAGTGCAGTAATATTGTGCTCTGAAGCACAGGAGTAGAAAAAAGAAAAGATCTTTCCATCCTAAGTCACAAGAAAGTGTAGTCAGATCAATGGGCATTCAAACATGTCTAAAACTTATTTTGTGAAAAAGGTGGTTTGTGATAAAAATTTACATTTTGAGGGAAAATTTTAAAAACATCTATTGCTTTTAGTTTCAAATCCTAAATATTTCTCTATAACTTTAGTCATTTAAGCAACAATCAAAATTTAAGTTTGAGGAAGAATGTCTGGACATTTGCTTAGCCTTTACTGGGCTTTGTGTAATGATTTATACTTTTCATTATAAAGGTAATGTTCAGTTACAGCAGCCTGCTGTGTTTGCAACTGTTGTAATTTTCCATCAATATACAGAAAATGCGGGTGTATTCCACTGGCTAGCTTGTTTGACATGATCCAAAGGGACCATTTAGCATGCTTCAGTTTGCTAAAAGTAAAAGAGGTTTAGTAGGCAATTCTTCTTTGTCCCTGGACAAAGAACAAAAACTGCTGATATTTAAAGCAGGCCAATGAAGCAGTTTATCCTCCTGCACCAACATGTTCATGTGATTTTACACAATAAATATGAATTGCATAAGGACCACATGTGCAATAAGAAAAAAAAATATTGGTGTTAATCTATGGTTTTATGAGCTGCATATATATTTGTACTGTAAGTGCATAGTGTAATTAATAGTAAGTGACATAATACTGGTGTGTTCCTGATAAGTGCAGTTGGTGTGTTAGATACTGAACGATCACAAACCCTTTTTTTCTATTGCCAATATAATGTGAGGACATGCCAAGCAAAATTAATATTTTAAATTTCTATCTGCAATGAAATGGCTCTAACGTTTTAAATGTTACTTCAAAATCTCTTGGCATGGTGGGGAGGTGGTTAGTGCTGTCGCCTCACAGCAAGAAGGTTCTGGGTTTGAGCCCCGGTGGCCCGGTGCCTTTCTGTGCGGAGTTTGCTCCCCCAGTAACCCTGTTCAGGATAATGCCCTATAGATAATGGATGGATGTGGAATCTGCTTGCTCATTAAAACCACTACTGTCCTGACTGCCCCCAGGGTTAAGATTAGGGGAAGACTGTAGTCTTGGGTAGTCTT